TAAACTTCGCGCATGCATGTGACATATCCTTTGAGATATACAGCCTGATTTTCATTTTATCCCCACTTCAAAAAAAAAAAAACACAATTTCTTGCCCAAAATAGCCGATAATTTCTTGAATTATACTCAACCCGCTCACTCAGGTTCTACTTCTGCATAAACGTATCTCCACAAACATTTTTCTTACAACAGTTTTACCTTACTGCAGTTCTACAGTACAATGTCAAGAAACTGAACGATTTTGTTTCATGGCATTCACTGTCATCTCATATTCATTCAGACTGTTCATGCAGGGAGTCGATCTCTCAGCAAGCGACTACGACAAACGGACTCCACTACATGTAGCAGCATGCGAAGGAGACCTTACTATGCTAAAGTTTCTCGTGAATGTTGCCAAAGTAGATATAACTACCCTAGATCGGTAATGCTTACTTTTGCTCGCAAGTCAAAAACAAAACTTCCACAAAAGTCGCATTTCAGATGGGGACGTTCTGCTTTGGACGATGCACGTTTCTTCGCGCATAAAGACTGTGTTCAATTTCTTGAAAAGGCATTATCTAAGGTGTGTCAGAGGTAGTAGAGGTTAGGAATTTGTATCAATGAAATTCGTACTGTCTCTATTTTCAGCCGGAAGGGCAGCGTTCACATTCCGTGTCTTCAGCGGATACGGAGGAAGACGCGTCTACAAATGATGGAGAAGATAGCATATCACAACCTACTTTCACAGTTAATCCGCTGGAAAACAAATAAGAGATTTCCCCATTATAAAATAAAGAGAGAGATTTTCTTGTCCCCTATCAAAAGTAGGACAGCGTAACCACAGTATCTTGAGTCTCAATATCATTCTATCCAATCATCCTTAACTCTCTGCCTAGAAAAACACATAATTGGTAGTTTCAATACCTTCCGCAAACAATCGGAGTACGGTATTTTGTGCAAATGTGATAGTATTAGGGATAGATGACATAATTAAAGAATCTTTTGCGTGGTTGTAGGCTCGAATTCTTTTTGCGTCAAATGAAAGACCTTAAATTATCTGATCAAAGTTCGTCTGATAATTGAGCAAAGACAGTGTTGTCTTCAAAGTACGGCACGCATACCCCAGTTCTTTCAACGCCATTCAGAATGATTTCTTATACATCTGGAATTTCGAAATTTCTACCCCACATTAGAAACTAGTTGAACTTCACTTAGAGATTATACTCAAAATGATTTCAAAGTATGTTCAGATTGTTGTTCTTGCTTGTGCACGCACACATAGATGCATTCTTCACAAATAGGAAAAAAAATAGAAGATTATGATAATATCAGTGAAAAATCAGAATCTTGCCTGTAAACACATTTAGATGCATGACTGGCTATAGCTTTCTATTTGTTGCACTACGACCCGAAAGCCACTTCTAAGGAAGAATAGCCGATCTAAAGCAAGATTTTTATCACAACTAGTCCTAAGCACCTCAGAAATAGTTTGTTTATGTGAAATATGTATAATCATGACATGCATTAGAAGAGCAACGGTTCCTTTGATTTGCTTCCTCATTGTTCAGTATAGAAAAACAGACTTTAGAGGAATTTCTTTAGAAAACTTAAAGAAATCACAATTTAAACTGCTGCATCTTACTGAAAGCAATTCTCAAAATTTTCAATGTATGGTAAATATTTTACATATTTAACGCACAAGACTACAATCCATTCCCAGAAAAAACACTCCGCGAAAGGAATATCTGGAGATCTCGTTGACTCAAGCGATGCAAACGATTCAAACTGCTTGTCAAGAAATGACAATCGCGCTTGGAGTTCAAAGCAGGTAACGTAGGGACAATCATGAGGATT